GTGCTCCGATCTGTTCTCTCGTCTCTCTCCGTCTCTTCTCTTGCGTCGTGCGTTTATAGGGCTGCGAATTCAGATTTCCCTCTCAATCTAGGACTCAAGTTTGAATTGGAGTCTTCTTGCACTCTGTTTCCGATCTGCTCTCCCTCTCGCCCCTCTTCCGTCTTTTCTGGGTTAATTGGATGAATGGGTCTAGTCCTAATTTGGGCTTGGCCCAACTTCTTTATTCTTCGATTGTAGTGCCCAACTTTGACATCTTCTTCAACTCTTTGGATTCTAAAATATATCTAAAATTATTTGTCAATGAAAATAATATTTACAAAATAATTGACAAATATAAATATGCTCAAAATCATGCATTTTATGTATAAAATATAAATAATAGCCTAAAATGCTAAATAGAACAAAATGTGATTCTTCAGGTATAAAATGCACATAAATCATATTAAAAATGCTAAGAAGTGAGAGATTAAAATATGATATTTTGTGACTTAACAGGAAGTCTAAAAAAAGAAAGCTTTAAATGTTTGGCATTCAATGAATGTCTTAAATAGAAGGTGTTGTTCTCTTTTTTTTGTTTTGGAGGGATTAATATGGATGGAAACCAATTTCCCAAAAAACTCAAAAAATTTGGGATGTTTTTGCCTTGACAATTTGCTCGTGGAAGCATGACTGTGTACCAAGAGTCATTTAATGCAATTGTACTTCCTTTTGTACTTTAATCTTATTTTAATGTTATTATACACTATTTACTTATTTTATGAGCCCCACTACAACTTTTGCTTTTGAGGGTATTTTGGGAAGGTCAAGGGCCAAAAAGACATTCCTTAATTTGCCACTTTTGTCAAACTGTCCTAATCTTTTTGGGACGGAGGGAGTATAAAAAAATGAGACTCAAGTCTCTACAAAGATGGCATGTGGTCTGCTAAGGTGATCTTTTTAACACTTAATATTTTATTCTAATTGAACTCATGAATTCAAATTTAAAATTAAAACTATTTTTCTCTATAATTTATTAATTTTAATACAATATTATACGATTTTATCGTTATTGAATAACTTTGATGTGGAATATAGATCATCATTTTTATTAGAATATACAAGTAGTTATGTGATTTTATATTTTTTCACATCATTTATAATAAAATTATCAACGAATAAATGAGATTTCCTTCCTTAAAAAAGATATTTTCTTAAACTCTACAAAATTCATATTTGCTTATAATATGATTAAATGAAGTTAGTTTTTATTTATTTATTTCCAATATTAATCTAAAATTTCGTTGACGACACCAAGCTTCAAGCGGACCACAACAGCGGTGCTGATTGAATCTGTCTAGATCAAGACTATAAGGTCGACTTTGTTCAGATCCGACGAAGTTGAGGAGCGCTCCTTCAGATCCGTTAAAGATGGAGCTGCTCTAGCGCTTCACTCTTTGTTAGTGTAAGGTGGAGACAGAAATGACATGTTGTGAGCACGGCTAAGCCAAGAAGAAGCTTAGAAGATATTTGAGAGAGAAGGGAGAGGTAGTGGAAGAACATGGTTGAGTATAGAAAATGATGATGTATGAAGGAAATGGGAGAAACATAGATGGGGTAGTGAGAGGTGAGATTTATTCTAAGGAGGGTAAAAGAGACATTTTAGAATATATTTTTTGCCAAATAAGGAAATGAGAAGATAATTTGTGGACACACGAAAAAGAAAAGTGGGAAGATAATTTATCAACGGAGGAAGTATATTTTAATCTCTACATTAATATACTATTAAATAAGATAAGACTAAAAAAATTTTTAAATGGACAATTATTTGAATCAAATAAATTAAAAAAAATGCTCTCACGGGCTTGAATGATTTTGTATTAAACAAAATTAAAAAATTAAAGAAAAATATCAAATATTTTGTAGATTTCTATTCAGAATCATCAAATCACGAATGTCTTTTATATTAATTATTTTGAATCATTGTATTGTTAATCCAAACTTTTATTTTTGGAATTATACGGGGAGAAGAATCATATTTTTTGAAGAGTAATAACCTTATTACTCCGTTTAATGTAGCATTTGTGTTAGGATATTTGATTAAATAATCAAAAGAAAAGAAAAGAAGAAAAAGAAAATAAAAAAAAGGAACATGCATACGCACTAATGCATGTGAAGTGGACCCATGATGCCATGCATGTGAAGTGGAGTTGTCTCCTTCCCTTAGTTTTTGGTGGTGTACGAAAATAATGGGAATATGGGATGGAGATGTTTTTTTTGTTGGCCTTCACCTCTTATAAGAGGAATGTTTTTCCTTATATTTGTGTGTGGGTTTACACACGGCCAAGAGAGAAAGGGTGTGAAGAGAGAGGTGCTACACAAGATATCACCAATATTGTGTGAGTGAGTGTAGGGAGTAACTATTATTCAGTTACTCGAAAATACATCCAAGTGTAGGGTGTGAAAGATCTGTTTATGAGTGTGTGAAATTTAGTCTTGTAAACATGGGAGAGTTTTTTGTATATTGTCCTGAAATAGTGGAAATACAATTTTTTCTCTCATATATTCTTCTTGTGTTTGTGCTCTCATTTTTCTGGTGTTCTCAATATTTTTGGTATCTTACGCGCTTAAAATCCCAACAATTGGTATCGGAGCTTGGTTGCGCTGAGCAGGAGGGATTTTTAAGCGGTAAAAGGAGAAATTTTGAGAACCCAGGGACTGGTCGATTTTTGCCAGAAGGCGACCATGGAACTTCAAGAACAAAGTGGATGGCATGAGGACCAGGTATGAAGCGACATGCTGGCTTTTGTGAAGTATGGTGCGAGAACAGGACCTGAGGAGATCGGTGGTCTAGCGGAGTGGAAAACTGTGGTTTATGTCTTGTGTTGAAAGTCTTCCCGGCAGGAAGAGGTCGGGCGGCGTGTCCTGCAGGTGTTGCTGCGGCGGTGCAAGATGGGCAGATCGAAAGAAGCTAATTGCTAGATGGGTGGTCTCAGAGAGTGTTAACAAAGGTGAGTTGTTATTTTTTTTAGCTCGGGGTGGAGGGTTAAAACTCTAAGGAGCTAAGGCAGTGACAAAGATCTTGACGGGGTCAGTTGTGGTGGACTCACGATTTCAACGGCAACTGGAAGTGGCGGTGGCGGATCCAGGATTCAAAACCACTGGGGGCGAACTTGAAGAAAAAAATATTCTCTCCATTTCAATTTAAGTTGTGTTTTTTACCATTTACAAGATCAAACTTTATTCATTTTTTACTCATTTTCATTGTTTATTTGATAAAATAATATAGTCATGTCACTTCTTACTTTTTAGTACTTTCGATGTAATTTTCAAATATATAAATTTTATTTTTTAATACTACTTCAATTGTAATATAAATTCATTTGAAAATAGTTTTTTTCATGTAAACAACAGCATGCAATTAAAAATGAGCCGAATGGGAAATAACCAATAGATAAAGCACAATAACATAATAAGAATGTACAATATGAAACAACAACGCAAATTTATTAGCACATGCATATAGACATATAGTTACAAAATGATATAGTAAAATTTTGAATTCAAATGAAAGTAAATTAAAATTAAAATTATCCCATGGGATTTTTTAATTCAAACTAAAAATACAGAAGAGTCGGTACCCACTCAGTACAGGTTGTTTCGCCTCTTTAGCGAAGAGGATTCAATGTTAATTGTTTATTCAAGGCAGAGAAGTATTAAATGAATATTTTTTATTGGCTTTTACATTAAAGGGGAGAGGGGGCAGCCAAAAAATTCTATGGGGGCATAAGTGTTATATTTTTAAAAAATGAGGGTACCAACAATGGAAATAAATATTTTTTTGGAAATCACTGAGGGCAAGTGCCCCCATTGCTTTGAGCATGCATTCGCCAGTGAGTGGCGGGGAATCTTGTGGTATATTGAGCAAGGTGGAGCCACGAAGGTAACACATGGTTGCGGAGATCTTGTGGACTTGAGCAAGATAGATTCACGAAAAAAATTCCATGGTGGTGGTGATCTCGATGGATTGATCGAGGTGGAGCCACGAGGTATTTCTTTTCTTCTTTGAGGTTGGCGGTGATCTCGAGGAACAAATCAAGATGGAGCCAAAGTAATTTTTTTCTAAGGGTAGCAATAATCTCACGGGACAAGTGAGGTGGAGCTACAAAATTTTTTTGATTATTTAATCAAGGTGGAGTTTGTTAGGATATTTGATTAAATAATCAAAAGAAAGGAAAAGAAGAAAAAGAAAAAGAAAATAAAAAAAGGAACATGCATACGCAGTAATGCATGTGGGAGGATGTGTTCTCTCTTGTCTCTTAGTGATGCATGCATGATATGGATGCATGTGATGTGTGGAGATTTTTGGCTATAAAGGAGTTCACATTGCCTAGCTATTTGTGTGTGGGTTTTACACACCACCAAGGTAGAGAGAGAAAAAGAGGAATTTTACACAAGAATACCACCGGGAAAATCCAAGGGGTCTTGGTGAGTGTGGGTGAGTGTAGGGAGTAACTGGTTTTAGTTACGTTACTCGGAAAAATACATCCGGGCATAGGATGTGGAAAGATCTGTTTATGAGTGTCTGATATTTAGTCTTGTAAACAGGGGAGAGTTTTTTGTATATTATCCTGAAATAGTGGAAATATAATTTTTTCTCTCATATATTTTTCTTGTGTTTGTTCTCTCATTTTTCTGGTGTTCTCAATATTTTTCGGTATCTTACGCGCTTAAAATCCAAACATATTTTTAGAATTATACGGGGAGAAGAATCATATTTTTTGAAGAGTAATAACCTTATTACTCCGTTTAATGTAGCATTTGTTCATACATTATCAAATCATTAAGCATGTAGAGTTATTGTCCCAACTAGAATCGAACTAATTGTGACATCCCATATGGGAGAGTCATCATCATGTTGTTGGACCACAAGGTTTTTGGTGAAAAGAATCATAATGATGCGGGAGAGATGAATAATATTAATAGGGAGAATTACCTCAATAGGAGTAAAAACTATGAAAATACTAATATAGGAGTCATAAGTCTTTTAAGATCAAAATAAGAGTTCACACTGTCATTGTTATAATGTCAAACTCACCACATTGTCACATTATAACTGCCACACTATCACTGCCACACTACCATCCATTGCCGTCAGCCACCAGAGTTGCACCGCGGATCGCCGATGGTTGACTGATCACACTAACATCTTACACTGTCATCATTTTTTAATCAAACTGCCAGCGCGTACTCTTACACCACATTGTCGTTATACTCTTATTTTGGTCTTAAAAGACTTAGGAGTCATATTTTGGTACGTTCAAGTTTTTTTACTCCGTTATACTCTTATTTTGGTCTTAAAAGACTTAGGAGCCATATTTTGGTATGTTCATGCTTTTTTTACTAGTATCCAGGGAGATTTTTAATATTAATTGCGCTAATCTATGCGAGATAGAAAAATCATGTTTTTTGAATCATAAGGTCGGTTATTGAACTTTTTTTTAAATTAACGCAAAGGAGAATAATCATAGGATCGTAATTTTTCATCATTATTCTTTTTTCTTGAATTAATTTAGGAAAAAATAATCTTGTTTTAAAAAATTAATACAAAAGAGAAATATCATATTATTGTGGGGAGAGGAATCACTTTTTTCGATAATCTAAACTAATGCGGGGGGGGGGGGCATCATATGTTTTGCCCGTCAATAGCGAATTTATAACAATTGAGTTTTAGAATAAGAACAAATGTTTGTAGATCTTAAATCACAAAGTAATTTTATTTTTAAGGAAATTGTATGCATTATGTTATTGAAAAACATTGATCAATCGTCTGAATTTTTTAATAGTATAAGATTAATCATTGGAGAGTTGTGAAAAATTGTTTTTGGCTCTATTGTAGTATTAGGAAACTAGGTCGTATAGAAGGTTTACACAACCTAAATGAATTATGTATCATTTCCTACAGAATTACTTTCAAAGAATACAATTTTTAATAATTTATGTTTCTTTGTGATTATTGATAAAAGTCAATGCATGCCAAATATTGTCATTTATAATTTGTTTTTACCAAATCAATTAGTTTTATATTTTTGTTTCGTGAGTGAGAGTAAATATAAGGTTGAAAGTTTAATTTTAGATGTCTTTAATCTTTAAAACATCACAAAAAAATTGTTGTATACTTCAAAAAATTTTGAAATCTTCTAATTTTATATAAGACTTTGACATATTAAATTTCAAGTATATATAGTAAAATTACCATTAACAAATATTATACTCTATCTGTTCAGAATTGTTCTTCACATTCTGACTTCACTCACTTTTTAAGACTAAGAAAAAAGTGTCGAACTTTCAAGAATGTCCCTACTTTAGAATTTTACAACTCCCTTTCTTATTTAAAAACCAATAAAAAGTAGATGAGTGGTAAAACGAAAGAGCATTATTGACATTTACCTTTAAAATGTAGACTGAAAATGAAATGACAAGAATATTTTCAGACGGACCAAAAAGAAAAGTGAGAAGAACATTTTCGGATGGAGGAAGTATGTTTTACCATTATTTTTAGTTTTAAGGTCGATGTTTTATTTTATTTGCTATTTGAAAAATGTTGTAGGCTGGAAACAAATTTTTTAAAAAAATGTGACGCCCTGTGCGTCACACGGGTTAAAATGCTAGTATATATATATAAAGCTGAGCAACTTAATTGTGGTGACAACACGTGTCATGCCATATGTAGGTTCATTTGACACATGTCATGCCACGTGTGTTCCTTATCGCCACATGTCGTGCCATGCGTGCATATAAAATTTCATGTTAAATATTCATTATTTTATTATGGTTTATAAACTTTTCATCTCCTAATCTTTTGACTTTGTCACTAAAATAATTATTAATTTTATGACATTTTTGTTATTGTAACATACTTTATATAAAGGTTTTGTTTACAAAAATAAAATAATTAATAAATTTTAATTTTAAATCTTTTCACCATTTCCTTTATTTCAAAAAATAAAGTTATGGATTATTGAAATATTCATCATTTTCCGTTTTACTAATTTTCAATATTTAAGAAGAGTTTAAAACCTACCTAAGCAACAAAAAAATAAAAATAATGCATCTACATTAAAATAACAAAAAACAAATAATACATCTATATTAAAATTAAAAATACACTTCTATTAAAAAAGATGTATCTTATAACCATAAAAAATAATGTCGCATATTATAAATTTATTAAAATAAATAATTAAAATAAATAAACTTTATTAGTAAAATGTCAGAAAATTAGAATGTATTAAAATCAGAAATATCAGATCTAATTAGATCAGATCAGATCCAATCAAATCAGATCAGATCAGATTCAATCAGATAAGACCAGATCAAATCAGATTTAATCAAGAATTATTATTACTATTATTATTATTATTATTATTATTCTTATTATTAGTATGAATTATTTTTATTATCATCATAGTTATCGTTATTACTCCATACTTTTTAAATTCCATACTTTTTACTTGTTTCACTTGATACGATTCTTTCAAAAAATAAATTTAATTTCTCTTGAAAAAATATAAGAAGAAAGAAAATGAAACTTTTGTGCGATTATAATTTATGTAGAGAAAAATAAAATGATATGAACCGCAATTTTTTTAAAAAATGGAAAAGAATAAACTTTAGAAACAAGTTAAATAGAAAACTGAGAAAGTAATCCTTAATTATTAGACGTCGGAAAAATTATTTTTAAAATACATTGACAATGTCAATCTAAGTCTACTATTAAAATATATTTTTATTGCTACTTGTAATTTGTGTTTCTAAGGTTATTGCATTATAAAATATGATTGAAAAATATTATTACATTATATTACGAGTATTATTTACAAATTTGGGATTCAATGAGCTGAGTGAGATTGAAGAGAATATGAGTTTGTAACATTTTATGCAATGTATTATTTAAAGCATACACTCTTGTTTGTCAAAAACATCTAGCATATAATATATTATTATACAAGATGCAGAAAAATGTATTATTTCTTTGCTTAACATTGATATTTTATAAGAATGAGATATTTTGAAAAAATACTATATCTTCTCTATATTGATTATCTAAATTTAATTACTTTTTAATGTATATATGAATTAAAAATTTATTCTAATGTATATATGAACTAATCATTAAAATATTAAATCAATATTCTTATTACATAAAAAAAATAATCATAAAATAAAAAATATTATTACATTATAAGATGAATGATTATTCTAATCTATGAATAAACTAATTTTATTTCATTTAAAAATAATCATAAAATAAAAAATATTGATTATATTATAATATGAATTATCATCACAATTTTCAAAATTTATTATAAAGTCAGATCAAATTATTGATTTTAATTTTAAATCAAATCATAATTAATCAGATCAGATCAGATTCAATTAGGGGAGAAAGACCAAAGCAGTAGTAAAACATATGACATATCCTGAAAATAAGAGTTGAAACATAAACTCCCCTAAATAAGAATAGTTAACTTTTAATTAATCTAATGACTTAAAGTTAAGGAGCGAAATACAAGTAAAATATTGAGCATGTACCAAAATAAAAATTATATTCATATTACAAATATGAAATTAAATACATTTTATAAATTAAAAAAATCCTAAATTAGCTAGAACCCTTGCCGTACATGTCACTATCACCACCCCTGCCGCCATCGCCGCTACTATCATCGCCGCCACTCCATCGCCACAATCTCGTGCTGCCATCGCTATTAAATGCGGCACCATCTACATTGTTGCTGCCACTAACACCACCATGGTTGGCGAATTCATCGTCATCGCATCCACGATCTGCTACTTTCATCCCCATTTGTTTTGGATGCCGCCTCCATTGCCCCCATTTGCTACTATCTATGTCTTAATTTACTGCCAACATTGGGATCAAGACTGTCATTGTCGCCACCATAGTGTCATGGTGTCACTGCCAATTGAAAAAGCTTTTAATACAATGTCAACTAAAGGCACAATGTCAAAGACAATAATGCATACAGACAAACATGTTATTGCCTAATGCCAAACATGTCAATATAAAAGGTCAAAAAGAAAGTGAAATGCCAAAATTGTCAATATACAATGTTAAGTTTCTTATCACTATCACCAAGTTTTGCTAAAATTGGGAGCAAAATTTAAAAACAACTAATAAAAAAACAATCAAACAAAAAAAATTAAAAGAAAAACAATCAAATACAAAAATGAAAAGAAAAAACCAAACCAAAATCAATGCCTAATGAAGATGCAATTTTTCTGAGAAAAAAGGGATGAATGCAATAAGTTGGAAAAATTTGTTACTTTTACGATGCAGTCTCAATTATAGAGCATTTGGAAGCTAATTAAAAAACAAAATCATAGTCATCGTGACTAGCGGCAATCTCAGCTCTAATGGATATAAGCAGTGTGATAGATCTGCAAGGGGGAGAAATAGAGGCATCGCGCGGCGAATCTACAAGGGACGCTTCGTGATAGATTTGCAAAGGGGGAAGCTAGTGCGACGGCACTGCAAGGAGTGGAGCGGCGGTGATGACATTTGGAGTGGATTTGATAAGGACAACGCTTCAAAATGGTGAGGGTGGTGGCCAAAAATGAGAGAGAGGGAAGAGAGAGAGGCATGGTAAGGTGGCCGTGAGGAGATGGAGCAGAGAGAGATGAGATTAATTAGAGATTCAATGTTATTTATGATGTTTTCTTTATTGCTTAATTAATCACTTTTATTTAGAGGAATTTAAGTTTAGGCTCATATTTTGAAGATATGACATATGTTTTACTCTTATATAGAGAATTTTTTTTCAATCAGATCAGATCTAATCAGATCCGATCTAATCAGATCTAATCAGATCACAACTACAAAAATCAGATTAGATAAAAAAATAAGTTGAGTGACGAATAAAGGGGTATTGTGCCATAAATTCACCAAAAAATCGAAGGTGGAATGGTGGAAGAGAGTAGGAGAGTCATTGTTCTACATTTGATGCCATTATATCGTGTCCCCAAGTCACCATACGACCCTGGACTCTTGCTAGCTGCTTTCTCCTCCACTCGAAGTCTGGAGCGCTTTAGACAGTAACTCAGTAAGCCATCTCAATCTCAGCCGTTCAAGGTTCTGCTTTTGTACTGTAGTCGTTTTTTCAAAGCCTGTTTGATTCTAATCTGTAAAGGGTTTTGAAGAACTCAACGGTTCTTTTTTTAAGGAATAAGTTATTACCAAAATATTGATAAGATTCTTTAATTTCAAACTGTGAGATTTGATTGTTTCCTTTCATTGGGAGTTTGTGTTTTAGGCGTTTGATGAAATGCGCTAGAGATAGTTTGTTCAAGTGCTTCATTTTCTAGTGAGTAGTGACTTACTTATTCATTCTCAGGATGCTTGCTTTGAGGTGTTTTTCTGCAATTTCCATAGGAAGGCCAGAACCAACTATTCTTCTGGAGAAAAGTGTTGGACCCACCGTAGTAAGCATTTCGCTGTTCTGCTCAGTTTTTAAAATTTAGATATTCATGTGTTTGATGTCTTGATTGTTGTCAAGTAATAGTACATATCAATTGCATTTTAATCTTAATCTAATAGGTTTTCACTACATTGCTTTACCTTCTTTAGCAAATTTGTTAATCTAACATTAATTGCTGGTTGTTCTTAGCTGAAGTGCTTATTTCTATGCTCTGCTACTTCTCCAATTCTGCCTATGGTAATTGCATCCTAAGAATCTTGAGAGGGTAATTCTTCTTGTGATGTATTCTTCCATATATCTTCACTCCATTCTAACTTTTCTAATGAGCGAAGCAGGCAATTATCTTTTCTTGTTGGTTAATAAAATTGTAACATCAATTAGAGTTAGATGCTTACCAAAGCTTTCTCTACATGCAGTTATGTTTGTAGCTCACTGGCTTGTCACATTTCCTTTTGTTTGCCGGTTTGCCCTTTGTTAAGATCTACTTCCTTTGGTCCTATTTATCTGTCTAGTTTGACCAAAATTTTTTGTTCGTCATTTATGTAATCTATGCACATTTAATTCATTAACTATCAACCCCCAACTTACCCTTTTATAGTCTTCAACTTACACATTTCCCAAGAGAAACTTAAATAACAGAGTGACTTTTAGTGAAATCATTTTATACAAAGTATTAAGTATCTGAATAATTTATCTTCCCAATGCATTTTATTAAACTTTATGATTAGGTCAAACTAGATACCCAGATGAATTGGGATGGGGGGATTTTATTAGTATAGAGTTGAAAGTATTGTCTGAATGCTCTAGAGTATAGAGTAGATAAGTAGGGATTGCAGGTTTCAAAATATTGACAGGCTCTTCTTCAACTAGCCTGTTCGACCTTAATTCATAGGCAATTAAATAAATACAAAGAATCTCTTTTGGTTCATTTTTACTTTATCTATCATTCTATCATATTGTTTTTATTTGTTCTCTTACATATGTCCAACTTCTAAGTTTCATTTTTACTAGTAATGTTTTCATTTTGTTTAACTTTTGTGATATGCTTGAGATACTTATTCCCCTAGATATATTGCATTACACAGACACATTTGAACTACTTTACCTCGTTTGCCTTTTGGTAGCTTGCCTCTAGCCTCGAAAAAGTACCTCTTGCCTGGCTATCACCTCTTGCCTTTCATAACTATCATAGGAACAGAGGGATTTAGTAATATATAGTAGGCAATATGCAGAGAATGTGGGTTTCAAAATTCTTTTGCCTAGAACAGACAGGTAGCATATATTAAGTATTCCTTTGACTTCATTTCCATCTGTTCCTACTAGATATTGATTTCCCTCATGAAAGTATGTGTGTTTGCTTGCTCTTGAAGTGTACATGAGCGTTTCCTTTTATTTTCATAGGTTTGTGCTGCAAAAGGTCCTCGCCCGAGGTATCCTCGAGTATGTAAGAGTAAAAGGAGAATAGGGACCATTTCTAAGCCTGTCAAGCTTGTAGAGTGTGTAAGTTTTTTCTCCACAACCTTTTGATTCATGTCAGGAGGATTCTTGTAGCAAGTTAAAATGCATCTCACTATCTTGGATACCGGCTATTACGCATTCTTCGTGGAAAATTTTCATTTTCATGATGAGAGTAGTTACTACTCTTTAATATTATTCCTGAACTATTTTATCTTACTATAGATAAAGGGTTTATCAAATGTCAAGGAAGAAGTCTATGATGGTCTTGATTCTTTTATTGCATGGGAATTGGAGTTTCCATTGGTCACTGTGAAAAAAGCTCTAAGGATCCTTGAGAATGAAAGGGAGTGGCAGAAAACGATACAAGTATGGTATATATCATCTGGATATTTTCATTCTCAACGTTTTAGGTGTCTTTAGCATTAAACAAATCACTCAGAGACTACAGTGGGTTGTAGTTGACAAAGTGGATGCTAAGCAAGGGTCAGGGGAGAACAATGGGGACCTATTATTCCTTGTTGAATGCTTTGGTTGAAGATGGAAGGCTCGAAGAAGCTGAAGTTCTATGGAATAAGTTGCTTTCAGAGAACCATGAAAGTATTCCTCGCAATTTTTTTGAGAAAATGGTCCGTATATACTACCAGCAAGAAATGCATGAAAAGATGTTTGAGGTAGTTTCTGACTTAGTTCTCTGTTTGGGTGTGTATGGTTGGTTGGGAGGGGTGGGGTGGGGTGGGGGAAAATGAGAGAAAGTTTACACTAATAGGCATATGCTATGCCTTATGCCCATATCCTTTAAACATCATATGAAATCTATGTTACATGATTTCTTTATGTACTTTGTAGTAGGGATTATTAATAAAAGGGTTGATTTTGCACAATGTAAGACATTTGTCCATGTGCAGACATTTGCAGACATGGAAGAACTCGGTGTCCGGCCAAGCGTTCACATTGTCACAATGATGGGACATGTATTTAAGAAGTTGGATATGTTGGACAAATATATGAAGTTGGAGAAAAAATACCCTCCTCCAAAGTGGGGATATAAGTATTTTAAGGGTAAAAGGGTCAAAATAAGAATAAAAGACTCTGAGTTGGACGATGATGAGACCCCCGGAGGTTTGTAGGAATTTGCTGGCCGGATGAAAAAACACATTCCTCAGGTAATGCAACTCTCTTACCTGAGCTCAATAGTGGAATGAGATCAACGTGCAGAAAATTGTTTTGCATATCACGGCCTTTGGCCCTTCATGTAAATTTGACACTTTTCTCGTTCCCTTTTATGGAAAGGAATGTGTGAACTCACATCATTTCTCTATTGTCTAAGCAAATTCTAAGTTTTTTTTTACTTAGGAGGATGAATGCTGCAGCGTTGAAGACTTTATGAATGAAGAACAAGAGTTACGACTTGATAGTTTAATGAATCACGTAAACGCTTTCAGATCAAAGTTATTTTAGGGTGTACCAAAATACTTTAATCGGATAAGAAGTTAATCCAGAACAAACACTTTGAATTCGTATATCTCAACCATACATGCGAGTCTCTATATTCTCTATTTATAGAGACGAAAATCCTTGATCAGACATGAACATTCGCGTAAGGATACAAACTTTTGCGCTAAAGGGATAAAACCGAAAATCTCATGAACGTTGGCTTATGGAGGCAGATGTTCGCGTGAAAAGCTTCTTGCGGTTTATGGCCAATTTTGACTTTTATCCGTACGTCCAAATCTTTCAACGTTTTGGACTCTGCCCCTTGGACCCTGCTATCGAGGGCTGCCGTCCCTGGACAATCGCCATGAATTTGTAATATTGTTAAACGAGTGTGCACTCTGTATTCTTTAACTCTTTTGACAATGTCTATTCAAATTCTTGTATCATCTAAGTAATCTAATTTTACAAAATAGTCAATAACTCTAAAATCACTAAGACAATCACTAAGACGTATTAGTATTTCCATCAAGTATTGGAACTTATCAAATTGTTAGAAATGGATTGAGTGGGACGCAAAACTCAAATATTTGATCCCCCATTGTTAAGCTGGGTGTTAATAAAGAAAGGAAGAAAGGGAACATGATAATTCGTACGGAGTAGTTAGTACCCACTGGAGTATGTTGCAACAGACTTGCAGGCTTGGGCATGGTCGTGGTTCTGGGTTCAAATTACCTAAATAGTACGGTGGAGTACTTTCAATTTTTTTACTATGACAAGAGGACTTAACTTATAATAGGGTAAGCGTGGTACGATATTTAGTTCGTACCGATATCGCACTAAATATTTCGCTTCGCTCCGTGATTTTAGGTCGTACCAATCCCGGTCTCGAAATATTAGTTTGGTATGGTTCGTGATGGTTCGATATTAATTTCGGTATAAATCGAGATAATTACATATGTGACTAATTTAAGCTTTAAAATGCACAAAGATCCTTTACTTCAAAAGTACATTGAAACAAAGAAAGATATTCCGTAAAAAAACTAAAAAGAATAACGCTAAGAGAAAAGAAAGCCAAAATTTGCCTCATTTTTGTGAGGAAAATACGGTAAAACCATTTTTTTTTCTTTTTCTTCCAAATTCCTTAAACCAAATATCATTAAAAAAAATTATTTAAAATGCTTGTTATTTTTTTAAATTTATCTACAAAAAATAAAACTCATATAAAAGTACTTCGTATACTTTACACAATAAAGCTTGAGACATATTTACACAATAAAGCTTGAAGCATATTTTCCAGGGCTCACAATCTACTCCATCGTTGTATGATGGCCAACCACAGTGCATCACTTTGGGCAAACTGAACGGATTCATTTAATAATGTTTAAGATACATCAATTTTGTTGTTTTGCTTTGTTTTAATATTTAAAATAATTGTTTCAGCAATCAAACTGTGTTGGGACGGTTATATGCCTTGCCTTCAAGAGAAACGTTAGTTACAAAATGATATTGTGAAGTTCGAACGATGTTTTCGTGAGAAAAAATGTGCCTAGACATGCATGGCACGGCTCCAAAGGCCATGCCATGTATTTTGAAACTTTGATATTCGAAACTCCCTTGGTTTTGTCAAAAAGTCGTGCCCAATTAGAAAGCCACAAAAAATCTGAACTACCTGTAGTGCGAAAAATTGTGCCAATAGCGTGTTTTTTTGTAGTGTCAGTGTCAAAAATTTATTTTTGATGCAAGATGCTAACACTAGAATTATGTTACAATGGTGTATGTGTTGAAGTTTATGATAAAATTTAAGATGGGGTAAGTGTCATTGGATTGAGCCATAAGACACTAAGGTCGAAACACATTTAAAAGATGAAATCTAATTGATTTCTTAGTTCAACTCAAGAGCTTATGTACCATTTACTTTTCTCTTCAATTTCCAATGTGGGGTGCTTTAACACTCTCTTCAAGTAGACAATCAAGCCATTTCGAATCTAACCGGTTGATCACTTTCAAACGGACTCTCCCTTCTCTAAGAAATGAAAGGATCGAAAGTGTCAACACCTAAAAGATCACAGATCACTGAGTATTATATGGACTTCTAGACTAATAAATCGGGTTATATGGGCCACATGCTGTTTTCCATACAGAGAACTTGGCCAAAAACTAATGGGTCACTAGAAATGAACTTCTAGATTAACACCTTAACAAATTAGATGGAGTTTCCATACAATGATAGAATTTAAGATGGGGTAATGGTCATTAGATTGGGCCATAAGATACTTGGGTTGGACCATATTAAAAGAATGAATCGAATTAATTATTTAGTTCAACTCGAGAGTTTATATACCAATTACTTTGCTCTTCAATTTTTAATGTCGGATCCTTTAACACTCCCCCTCAAAAGAATAATCAAACCATGTTGAATCTAACTGGTTGACTACTTGCAAATAGACTCCCCCTCCCCAAGGAATGAAAGGGTCGAATGTGCCAACAACTAAAGGACCATGAATCACTAGGTATGGAATTTTAGATGAACAATCGGGTTATATATATGGGTCACATGGCATTTTCTATACAGACAACTGAGCTAAAGACTAAGGGGCCGCTAGGAATGACCTTCTAGACGGGGACCTTAACAAATGAGGCGGGCTAAAACTGACCATAATACCATGATAGAATTTAGGAGGGGTAAGGGTTATTGGATTGATCCATAAGACATTTGGGTTGAACCACATTAAAAGAGTGAATCTAATCGATTACTTAGTTCAAATCAAAAGCTTATATCCCAATTGTTTTTCTCTTCAATTCTCAATGTGAGATAAATCCAAAATATATAAGTTACTCACCTGATTTAGTTATTCACTTTCTTGTTTATTTCTCCAGAGTTAGTTGTGCACTTTCTTTTTTTTGCCTAACCAAATGCACATTATATTTCACCACAAAAATCATCAAAGAGTGAACTTTAACAAAGCTAACGCAAAACATCTGTAACACCTCCAACCCCCACCCTAGCCGTAAGAGTCTCCTCATAGCATTGTAGACTGGCTCCACAAACCAACACAAGTCTTTTCCGCGCACTTTGTCCTCACTCATGCGCGCCCAAGGAATTTCTCTAGGGGTCACCCATCACAAAATTGCTCCAAGTCAAGCACACTTAACTTTGGAGTTTCTAAGTGATGAGCTCCCGAAAAGAAGATGCACCTTATTGGTATGAGTAGTACTATCAATCCTTTTGAGTCTTTTTTTTCCCCAATCCTTTTATTTTCAAATCAGGGTATTACAACACAATTAACCACAAAACCAACAAAATTGAATTTCTTCGAGAGCGATTATGCTATTCTTTATTTCTTCAACCGTAGTCTATTCAAATTTATGGCCCTTCCAATTTGAATCCCTCCTAAGCAATGCTTTGGTGATGAGGTAGTTGCAAAATAGGTGGTTAGAGTCTTCATCTGTGGCTTTACATGATACACAGGTTTTGTCGATATCCATATACCTCCCAATCCTTTCTTTAGTGTTTATTCTTCCTCTACAGATGAGCCAAGCAAGATACTTGTGTTAAGGACAAATCATCCTATTCCATACAAAAGGAGTCCAATATGTTTTCTGCCTCATGCCCATCAACCACTTTAACCCTATTCACTAGTACAATCACTAGTCAAAGGCTTCAATTCAAACCACCTCTTATTGTGCATAATTTTCTTCCAGTAGTAGCAGCAATCCCCCTTACTCTTGTAGTTCCTCTTCTCCTTTTAAACATATCTCTCTTGAATCCATTTCACCCAAAGATTTTTTTTTCTATTTAGCAGCATCCCACGAGTAGTTATAAATAAAGGCCTTATTCCATAAGACTACATTTCTCAAGCCTAGACCCCCAAATATTTTAGGTAAACAAACCTCCTCCCAATCAACCAAAGGTATTTTGGAGTAATTGGCAATAGATCCCCAAAAAAAGTTCTTAGAAATTCCTTCGAGTGGTTTCTCATGTTCGTAGAAATCTCAATGTGGTAGCGCATACGTTAGCTAGGCAGGTTGAAACTCAGACAGGTGATTGAGATTTTGTCCCCCCTAATTTTCTTATGTCTCTTTTGAATTAATGAAAGTTGGTTGTTCTCAAAAAAAAATGTGGTTGACTTTCCTAAAATAACATTCCCTTCTCCTTAGCCAGCCTTCGTTACTTCTCCATCAACTCCACGAAATAGCTAATTACAACACCAGCCAAAGCAGCACCAACCCAAATTCTCGTTTGTTCTTCTTCATCTCAACACTATACCAACATCATCATAAATGGATGGTTAGGACCTCTGCGGATCGAACTTCGAGCGACGACCCTCCATCTCCATATACCCATTCGTCTTGCATATAGAAAAACTAGATCTGAAATTGTAAATAAAAACCAAAAAAGGGGAAGCGGGTGGTGGAGATCTATTCAGATCTCGAAGCTAAGCTAAGGGATTGTCCTACTATCTATTTTGTGAAGTACTCAGATCTGCAAGGCGATGACCATGGATTAACAGACAATCGGTGAACTCAAATCCACCTGGATAATCCGATGAATCCTACTCTGAGGTGGAAGAATTGAAAAAGAAGACTGGAATTTTGTGGGGGGTTTAAAAATGAAAAAAAAAACGTGAGTTGAAGAAGATTTGATGGTGAGTAAGAAGAAAAAGATGAAGACGTAAGTGGAAGAGAGAATTCTGATAAGTCAAACTTCTCAGAAAAAGAATGATTCGCGTGTGTATGTTCAAAGAAATAGGGGAAAGGGTATTAGTGACATTTGAGAGTATTTTTTTTGCCAAAAAAAGAAATGAGAAGATAATTTGTGGACGGACGAAAAAGAAAAGTGGGAAGATAATTTATGGACGGAGCGGTAAAAAATTATAATATTGTCCAAAATTTCCTAGCCTTTAGCCATATTGTGGAGTGTAAAAATATTCCCTTCATCTCAATATATACATCAAGTTAAACTTCTTTCTAT